TGGGTCTCTTTAGTTTGCAGAAGAGGAGACTGAGGGGACACCTCATTAATGTTTATAAATATTTAAAGGGTGAGTGCCACGAGGATGGAGCCAGGCTCGTCTCGGTGACAATGATAAGACAAGGGGTAGTGGACACAAACTGGAACACAGGAGGTTCCACTTAAAATTGAGAAGAAACTTCTTCTCAGTGAGGGTTACAGAGCACTGGAACAGGCTGCCCAGAGAGGTTGTGGAGTCTCCTTCTCTGGAGACATTCAAAACCCGCCTGGACGCCTTCCTGTGTAACCTCATCTAGGTGTTCCTGCTCCGGCAGGGGGATTGGACTAGATGATCTTTTGAGGTCCCTTCCAATCCCTAACGTTCTGTGATTCTGTGATTCTGTGAGGCATGGCAGATCATGGATGCTGTAGGCTTCCTCCACCTGAACACTGGGGATGCTTGGTAGCTTGGGAAACTGCTGAAGCTGAGCTGCAACTTGTGGTCTGCCTGCCTCAGCAGTCATCATCTGCAGATCCGCAAAGAAGGACACCTGCATCTGCACTTGCATTTCAGCAGCGATCCTACCGATTTCCCTTGCAGCATGTAACTATCAGCATCCGAGGCTTTACACTAGTGAAGCCAGCAAGAACAAAATTCAGCATATCTATACATAACTTTATCCATGGGAAAAGGAAGGGCAGTAACAGATATTTTTCACTTTTATTTTAATCCTAGAGAGGCATTCGGATATGACGATGACACTGCCACTATTTAGCAATTTAGATTACCCTCTCCAAGTTCAGAGTGTAAGGACAGAGACAGCACTTTACCTCTACAACTTTCAACAAACTCAGCTTTGCAACGATCCTCCTTCACTGCTTGTCTGCATTGCGTTATATGTCATGTGGACAGTGCCCAAGGATGGTTTTCTCCCTTAAATAAAAAAAACAGCAAACTCTACTTTTTAAGAAATAGTCTATTTATTTTGCCGGTCTATGGCTGCATGTTTGTGCACAGACAATTTAATCTGCTTCTGGCACTCTGTGCAGCACTAGTGGGCAAGAAAAAGACCTTCCAGTGTCCCAGGAAGGTATTGCAAACATGGGTGTGATGTTTACACCACAGATGACCAATGCAGAGAGAGTCCTCTTGGCCAACACAAGCTCCATTTGTGCTGAGGGCAGGTGAGGCACTTTTTGTTGCTTCAAGTACTTCTGGCCTCACTGCTGGAGGCTCTGGTCCCTTCTAGCCATAACTTTGTCCCTTGCAGCCTGTTGACTTTGACAACGAAAGTCTCCTCCTCCTTGCCCCTTCCAGCTCTTGACAGTGTAATTTTTCTTCACAGCCTGCCTGGTTTCTTTTGCATTGAAAGGGTCTGTGGAAATCCCAGGACCCCATAGTGGGGAGGTGATCTGTAAGCCAGCTGCTGCTGCTGTAGCCAAACAAACACTCCATCATTGCAAAGTCTATGTCTCCTGGCTCATACGCTCCTGTTTCTCCCAGTCAGTCATATACAACTGGTGTATGACAGCACTTATTTCCTTGGATAAGCATGTAAATTCCTGTGTTCTTGCCATCTGTTGTGCATCTGTTTAGTCTTTCTCTTTCTGTCCCATCTGTTTGGTGACTCTCAGAGCTGGATAGCTTCTTTTCTTCCCTCTCCATTTCTGTGCTCCCCAAAAGCCCATCTGGGAACTGTGCACAAGGACATTATAAATTATTAAAACCAGATTTGCCCATATCAATATGCCCAAGAACATGTGTTGGTGCAATAGTTGTGGTTCACTTTGCATCTGCTTGCCAGTCAGCTTTCAACACTCAGTATTTCTTAAGGCCTCGCCATGTTGTTCTTATGTGAACCAGAGATTTTCTTTTCCCTATTTTTAATTGCATGATGCTGGCTCAGCCAAACTGAATAACAGAATAATTAGTAAAGTCCATGTGAGTGCAGTTCCTGGATGCTAAATATTATCAGCCACAGAGCCACTGGGATGAGTTCCTCCAGGACATACAGGAGAACCGAGGAGTCACTAGAAAATGCTGGCACCTTAAATTGTCCCTTATAGAAATGGTCCAATCCCCACTCCATGATGCCTGAATTTCAATTTCCCCTTACACGGACTAGGGATAATGAACAGACTTGCCTTGCTTTTGGAGGCCTTTTGAAAGCCTCTGTTGCAAGGAACAATGCCTTAAATATTACTTGAGATTTCTGTTACTTTATTGGGATGTCCTAGGAGAGCAAAATCCACTCAAATGTGGCAAGGCAGCTGCGTGCAGCCGTGGTGCGGGAAACAGTGATCCAGCGAGATGAGCAACGGGTGAGACATATGGGGAATAGCCTGGTCTTCGAGTTAGGAATTTCACAGCTATACTCCAGCATCTTGATCTGTACAAATGAATCATAAGCACAGCCAAACCACAGAATGACACCAGCTTCTCTAAAAGAGTCTCTCTTTCTCTCTCTACATATATATATAGCTGCTAGACTTGCGTATTCCTGTTTGTAAGTACTCAGTAATAACTGACCGCAAAGCTACATGGCCTTCTCAGCAGACAGCTCCTAAAAAATACTTGTTCTATCTCTCATTTCTTCCAGAGTTATTTTAAACCAGATTTTTACACCTCCAGATGTACTATTTTAACTTGAAGTCCTGGTACTGGCACACGTGATCAGGACATTTTCTGGGTAAAAAGACAGCCAGGGCAGAGATCTTCTGAAGAAAGCTGATCAAAAACATTGATCCTTGTTAGGTGTACCTGAAGACATTACTCTACCTAGGAAATGTACTGCTGCTCTGTAACTCTTTGGTTTCAGTTTAGTTTTCTAAGCCAGAACAGCCTATGCTAACTGCACTATAAACTCACTTTGAATCCTTTAGCCTACTTCATCTGCACTTTCCAAGGGGCTGTGTTTTCAGAATCTGGATTTGTAGGAGTGTGATCAGAATTGATCACTGGTAGTATCTATAGTTGGGAAACCCAAAGCATTGCCTCAGCGAGGGAAAGTCAAGCTGACCCTAGTCCTTGCATGTGCTGATGGGCATTGACAAGTTGACCAGTTTTGACCAGTTAGGACTAATGTAACTGCAAATTAATCCAAAGATGTGTTGCACCTGGCCTAGGCAAACAAGTCATGGATGAGGTGGGAGCAGAGGACATGAAGATGGGGGAAGCAAAGGTCTGGAGTGTGGTAGGAAAAGGCCATGAGGGGAGAGCTGAAATGGCTGCAGTGGAAGGGAGTGCGTGTGTGTGCTAAGGGCATGGGGTCTTAGGGCACGTTGGTAGGTATAATCTTTTCAAAGACATCAAACCTCATTTCCTGCAGTTTTGCTCTTTTTGAATCTGGTAAACAGCTGGGTTATTTGCTGGGAACTTGCCTAGCTCTTGTGACCAGGGTTACCATTAGAGACTCCCACCTCTATTGCATAAGTCACTTATACAGTAATAGCCTGAACTTTGACTTAATATAACATAGGTCACCCAACACAACAGCCCTTCTGTCTCCTTGCCAAACAGTGAAATGGAAAAGGAAAGACTGAAATAATTTTATAATTCATGAGGTCAGATTCTCAGAATGAAGTGCAGGGGCTCCAGAAAGAAAGACCAGTGGTTTTGTAGCCCAAATGTGGAAGTTTAACATCAATGGAGAGGAGTTCTTTATTTTCACCAAGAAGACGGAGCACCAGAGGACAGTAACTAAATTTAGTTGCATTATCAGCCTTTCAGGTTCATGGATAACAGGACTGCTTAAGGAAAACAAGGCAGCCAGGTGTAGGGCTGATAGCTATAGAAACCCTTGCAATAACTGTGTTGATCAGGATATTGAAACTGTGAAGACCATTACAGATTGAAATATGGGACTTCATGATCTATTTTTTCTTTTTGTTTATTTACTGTGATGTGGTGGATGTTGCCTGCACAAAAGAATATGTACAACCCAAGCATATGACACATCCCTGAAGATTGCAGCATATTAATGGATGTCATCATCTATATGTTTCTTCTCTTCATAGAAGATGGAAGCATGGTCTCAAAACCTGACAATTTTTAATCTATTAAACAATATCCTGAGGTCTCTAGTATAGCTGACGCTGATATTAGTTAAATAAAGACTTCATCATTTATCATAGAATCACAGAATCATTTAGGTGGAAAAGACCTTTAAGATCATTAGATCCAACCATAACCTGTCCACTCCTAAACCATGTCTCTAAGCACCTCATCTCCCCATCTTATAAACCCCTCCAGGGATGGTGACTTCCCCACTTCCCTGGGCAGCCTGCTCCTATGCCTGATAACCCTTTCAGATAAGAAATTTTAAGTCCAGATCCAGATTGAAGTCCTCTGCTAGATTGCCTGCTTCTAACCAGACAGAGGTCAACATTGCCATAGTTCATAACCTATTTCTTACCCCTCCTGCTCATAAACCTGGACACCATAATCTGCTTATATCTGTTAATTCTTTATATTCCATTGCAAAGGGACCCTTACTGTAAACTGTGACACTGAGATGGTTGTTATGGAAGGAAAGGAGAATCAACCCATTTGTGATTCACAAGCACTCTGGGAAATCACAAAAGATTTGTGTTGTCCATGGAGAACTTGCTTAACCACATTATGTGAAGATTGCGATTATTTATCTGCTGACTATGCTGCAGGACACCTTTTTTTGCCCGTGAGAATTTTTTATTTGAGGTAGAGCGTGAAACAGTCATGTGAAGACATGAGTGTAAGCAAACTACCGTTCGTCAGAAAAAGGGAAATTTAGTCATATATTTAGCAGTCATTTCCTCTTTTTTGGGAAATCCAAATACATGCTTTTTTTTGCTCTCTCTGTGTCGCTGTTTCTCTTATCTTCACTCTACGGAAGAAAAGAAAGTTGGGTCTAAAATGTCATTTGGTTTTGACATAAATCTGATTGGGCAATGAGAGACAAATTTCCGCTGTGAGTTGAGCTAAACCCTATATAAGGTCCTTACAAGCAATTTTCAGTCTTATATCATTTCATGAGAAGCTAAATGGCCGAAAGACTTCAGAACCACAGGTAAGTGAATCTGATGGAAATTTGGGAATAAAAGCCTCCCCCAAATCCTCAGACTGTATTGGGCTTATGGAGATGGCTAGATACTAAACCGAAGGGATCAGAAAGCTCTGAACAAAATAGCCAAGTATTTTCAAAGGTTCTAGAGAGAGAGAAACCCCAATGATACAGAGTATTAAATGCGAACCATAGGGCTTTTTATTGTGACAGACAAAGCCACTAACACCTGGTCCAAGTGTAGCCCTGGGAGGGATAGACAACTCCATATCAGTGCCCTGGAAACCCTTGCAGATCTAGTGGTAGGGGAGACGACCCGGCATTATGAAACAAAGAGTATTGTTGAGCAAGAGGTTGGCTTTGTGGTCTTGTAGAGATGACAATAAGTTGGAAATGGTTTATTATAGTCAAACTATCAGATGTCAGACAAATAGAGCTACTAGAACAGGGAGAAATTTGGATTAAAATTGCATTATAAATATGAGCATGCTGGGATGCACAGAAGATGCCTGAAGGTGAGTACCTATGAATATGACTGTGTTATCTTGGTAGATATACATTTTTGCTTTTGGATACAACTTGAAGTAGTTGTCTGGTTGTTTAATATTCATCCTATGGCACAATCATAGCATTAGACTAATGTTAAATGCATGCAATTTACAATTCTGCATGTACAATGGAAATAGTATGGATCACGTGCATATGTGTACTGTATTGCACATAAATACCTTGCATAAAGCATAAGCTGGTGCCTACATGTAGTATGCTTTATGTATGTTTTATGGTACACTGAGATAACATAGTCAATCCACTGAGTAGCAGCAGCTGAAACCTCATGGCAGACCAGAAAGCATGCAATGATGTTTGCAGAAGCTGCCCTGCCCATGCCAGGCCAATACAAATGACAATTAATGAATGACTGGGAGCAGAGAGTTTTGTTTTCCCTTACCATTACTATGTCTGATTTTTGAGACAAGGTGTTCAGGGTTTTCCTCATCTTTTTTTTTTAGCACAGATGGTAATAGTGTCCATGCTGAAGACTCTTGCGCACCAACAGCAAGATGGGTATGCATGCCACGGGGGTCAAATATTTTTGGCCCAAGAGAAACATTTGTTAGAGACTTTGAAAGCTTGGCTCTTTTTGTAGCATGAAGTTTTCCTGCAGCCTGATCTACACTAGCTGGCCTACTTTGGTAGCCACAGTGGGGGAAGATAAAGTGACATGGGATTTAATGGGGTTCATACAACCTTGTGAGACACCTGAAGTGACTGCGTAAGGAGATAAAGTCTATTCTGTGCATCTTTGCTCCTGTGTTCACCCACGCGAGCTACACTATGTCTAACTTGAAATGACTGACCTCTGCCTTAGCCACATTGTACTGCAAAATAAGCAGAGCTAGATTTTTCCATCCGTAGCTGTCACACTGAAAAGCCGTGGGGACAGCAGCATCTTGTGGCATGTTGTCTGCATCTCCTGGAGTGAAAGGAAAGGGAAAGGAGTAATGTGCTTGTGCTGAGCCAGATGCTCTTGTTTCACAAGTCAGCCCACATAAACTAGGGATGAAGAAGCTTTTCTGCTCACCAAGGGTGAACCAAAGCTCACCAGGTTTGGGGTGACGGAAAGAGCATTTAACTCTTAAGTTAATGCTGAGTATTTCCTTTGTGTCTTCTGTCTTGTAATAAACTTACTTCCCTGTAGATTTCAAGACACTTTTCCTCAGTTATCTCCTTCTGATTTCCTCTGGGAAAAAATGCAAGGGCTCTTCTTTGTCCTGGTGATGTGCACAGCGGGCGCCTCTACTTTCAGACTCCAGCAAGTCAAAAGCACAGGTAAGGGCATGCTTTTTGTCTTTTTTTTTTCCCTGTCTCCCTTTCCCTTCTTTTTTATGTGCCTGGCTGATAGTAATGTAAAAATATCTCTGATTTATATAGAAAACTGCCCAGATCACACCGTGTTTTTTAAACACTACTATGAATTGCATGGAGAACCAGTGGTTCTGAAATGCCCTTCCCCCACATACAAACATTTGGATTTTTCTGCCTTGACCCCTAATATCACATGGTATAAAAATGGTTCAAAAGCCATGATATCAGGAAGAGATGAAGATCCGAGAATCTGGACAAAAGGAGATGCACTCTGGTTTTTACCAGCAATGCTAGAAGACTCAGGAGTATATATCTGCACCAGAAGGTGGGTATTTAAAAGGAAATCCAGTGCACTAACAAGGTGAATATATCTAAAATAGATTAGCTTGATTCTAAACTCTGTTTATGTTCAGAGCATGTCTGGATAAGATCATGTCCTCCTGGCTTTATTAGAGAAAAAATTGTGAAATGACAGAATTCTTAAATGCATTGTGTGTCTCCTATACATATCCTGAAATCTGGATAAATCATGACACAGTATTGCCACTGTGGCTACGATCCCATGAGGAAATAGTGTACACAAGAGTTTGTTCTAGCTTATTTATGGAGCAGTCAGGTCTGTGGTGAGAGGGGATATGCTGCAGGCAGGGGATTCTGCACAAAGCAATCCTCGAGTTACAGATCCAGAGAAGCAAATAGCCTTGTTTGCACTTCAGGTTCCTCATTAAGCATATACCAAGGCTATGGAGTGGCTTTCTTCTTTCTTATCCCTGGTGTTTACTGTTCTTCTGCTTCACATTTTTAAACCAGACTTTGATTGCCTTGGTTTTGCTGGAAGATCTGTCATGAGACCCAAGGTGTATTTACTAGGCTGGGACCAGTGGCTTGAGACTTGGTCATCATTTTTCTGAGTATCTGACAGCCCACTGTACAATTTCAAAAGAGGTACCAGGGTCTGGATTTGTGGGGGACTGAGAAAGGCAAAATCACCATTAGGGCCTGAGCTCTAGAAGGTGTCCCATGTCCTTGTCCCCTTGTCCCCTGCCAACTCCTCTGTCCAGTCAGCCTCCTAGTACACCCTGGCAAGTGGTGCTTTGCTCTGGAGTCTGTAGTGAATCTGTACATTCCTGGAGCTGCCTGTGCAGAGCACAGTTTCCTTGCTGGCAAGGCACACCTTGTGGGTGACGTGTGTCAGCAGCAGAAGAGGGATGAACAGGCACAACTCAAGTTAGTAAATCATGCTCAGCATGTTGGGTCAGCCTTTCCACATGTCCCCAGCAATTGCAGTGGCAGGGCAGAAGATAAGACTTTGGTAGTGAGGCTAGAAAAACAAAAGTTTGCAAATATTGTCCTAGAGCATAGAGAAGCTGCCTGAGACCTTGAAGGGTGGTTTTTAATCCCCTTTCTGGACTACTCTGCCTCAATTCCTCAACCTATAGCCCTGTGGCATTGTTATTGACAGCTATTGTAAAACTCTGTGAAATCTGTTTGAAAAAGATACACAAGAGCTGAGTACGTTGCTTCATCATTAATGCTATTACAAGACTAATAAAGTACAAACGAATTGTATTTCCATTGCAAATCATCCCTCAGGGAAGCCACTAGATTTATTTTTGTCAGCACTCTGTAAAATGAGGGTAGAAGCAAATGATCGCAGATCTCTGCTTCTGCTGAGCAAGTGTTTTGGATTTAGGCATCTGACCTGTAGGTGACAGCCAGTTGCAGTGCTCCAGCAGTAATACAAGTCTGTCTGTCCCCAGCCCCCAGCTGCTCTCCAGGAGCTCACAGCCCAGAGCCCTGGCTTCACAGGCCCCATGGGTGTCAGGCACTGCGCTGGGTGGAGGCATCTCAGGCTTTCAGAGTGGTAAAGGAGGTAGTTTAGGCACCTATCTCCCCCAGTCTGGTCCTCCTTGGGATTGGAAGCAACTGTCACTTCGGGCCAGAAAGAAAATTTGAATGTTGCAAAA